ATAGGAAGAAAACCAAGTGCTTCAACTTGTACCAAAGCAGAATGAAATGTTTTGCCACTGAAATAAAGCTAAGCCAATTGTTTACTTTTAACATGATTCTATTCTACTGATAACAGTTCAGAATCTTCTTTGTGTTCCAGTGAAACACAAGTTCTGTGTTTGCAAATTTTTTTTCTTAAAATATGCTTGTTGGAGTATATCTTGAAGGTCTTCTCTTGTGCTGAACTGTTCTGTTTCCATTTCTGCTTTGATCGAAGGGCCTTCTTAATCAGGTTCTCTGTAAAATCTGATGGAATACCAGACGTACACCCTGGGGAAAAAATTTTCAATGTGTTACATGCTGGAAAACACTTTAATCAACACAACCTCAGGTTGACACAGAGTGAATTGACACCTCAAAATTTTCTGGAAAGGACTCTGATCAGGTGAGGAAACTATATAAATCTCATTTTACAACTAACGTAAAAATTTGGCCCTTTGAGTTGAATATCTGAGGGGCACAACTTACAGACAGTGGCATCTTCTTTTACCCAAAACTAGTTATAACAATTGTCCTATTTTTGTACAGTATTAATAATTTGGATGCTATGGGATCACAAGTTTTATTTAGCCATTCATTTCTAGTTTTCACTGAAATGCATTTCGTTTCAAGTCTTGTTAGTCTTTTTGCTGGAAGCTGCACAATTTTAACATTGCTGTGTCTATAATCTGACCTTTGTCTGTCCTTCATTAGATAACAGGCTTCCTTTTAACTATGTTTTAAGGAGGCAGCGGTATTGTGACTGGATCAGTAGTCCCAGGCTAATTATCTGGAATCATGATCTTGAATCCTAGCACCATGATAGATGGTGACATTTGAATTCAGCTGATAAATCTGAAATTAGAAGCTAGTCTGATAGCGGCCAGGAAAAATTGTTGTAAAAATCCATCTGATTCACTCATGTCCTTTCGGGAAGTAAAAAGGGACACAACGTCTGCATCAGCTGAGGCACCAGACATGATAACAGCATGCAGAGCCGTGTCTGTCCTGGAAAGAAACCTGTCCTAATATTGGGTGCTTATGCAAAACTGGGAGAGCTGTACCACAGACTAGTCAAGAAACAGCCTGACGTAGCCATTCTCATGGAAAGGCAACTTAGCATGTTGAATATCACTTGGAAGAAGAACTGAGGGTGACAAGGGCACAGAATGTATTTTACATGGAGGATTTCAATGTTCATCACCAACAGTGACTTAGTACCACTATCAGTGAAACTGGCAGAGTCCCAAATGAATCAGAGATAGTAGGAACTGCAGATGCTGGAGAATCCGAGACAACAAGGTGCAGGGCTGGATGAACACAGCAGGCCAAGCAGCATCATAGGAGCAGAGAGGCTGACGTTTCGGGCCTAGACCCTTCATCAGAAAAGGGGGAGGGGAAGGGGGTTTTGAAATAAATAGGGAGAGAGTGGGAGGCGGATAGAAGAGGGATAGAGGAGAGGATAGGTGGAGAGGAAACAAACAGGTCGAAGAGGCGGGGATGGGGCCAGGAAAGGTGAGTGTAGGTAGGGAGTTAGGAAGGGGATAGGTCAGTCCAGGGAGGACGGACAGGTCAAGGGGGCGGGATGAGGTTGGTCGGTAGGAGATGGAGGTGCGGCTTGGGGTGGGAGGAGGGGATAGGTGGGAGGAAGAACAGGTTAGGGGGGCAGGGACGAGTTGGACTGGTTTTGGGATGCGGTGGGGGGAGGGGAGATTTTGAAACTTGTGAAATCCACATTGATACCATTGGGCTGCAGGGTTCCCAAGCGGAATATGAGTTGCTGTTCCTGCAACCTTCGGGTGGCATCGTTGTGGCACTGCAGGAGGCCCAGGATGGACATGTCGTCTGAGGAATGGGAGGGGGAGTTGAAATGGTTCGCGACTGGGAGGTGCAGTTGTTTGTTGCGAACCGAGCGTAAGTGTTCTGCAAAGCGGTCCCCGAGTCTCCGACCATATCAGTTTCTGTGCCTATGTGCCTTTCTACACTTCACCTGACAAAGGGGCAGTGTTTTGAAAGCTTGTGATTTCAAATAAACCTCTTGGACTGTAAGCTGGCATCATGTGCCTTCTGAACTTATTTATGAACTAACCGACTCTTTGTACTTCCACTTCATTTCATCAGAGATAACTATGCCACCTGCAGGAATTCTTTGTAATGTCCTGTTCCATTTCCTTTATCTTCATTACTGATCAATACCAAACCCAAGCCTTTTCTCTCCATTTCAGCCCACAATCAAACATAAAAATATAAATGAGACCTTTCCAATTGTCACCACCTGCTTCAAACCCAGGTTCTCAGAACATTACCTGAGTCCGTGGCCCAGTGACGATATCACTAGACCATTGCACCCCTCCAACTCACACATCTTGCACTGTGCCCTTCAGTAAGATCATGGCTGTTCTGATTTTAATCTTAAATCCACATTCCCACCTGCTTCCAATAACCTTTCAGCCCCTATCTTCACAAGATCTATCCACCTCGGCCTTAAAATTATCCAAGGTTCTGCTTCCACTGCCTCTTGAGTCAGAGAGTTCCAAAGACTCAGAAAAATCTTGCTTAAAATCGCCACAAATAGATGTGATTACGCAGTTGGACAACATTGACTGAATAGCGTTGAGCATATTAAGAGTTACGTTAACAACTAATTTGGGATTGTCATTTGGTCTTGCAACATGGTGCTCCTGTGTCCACTGGAAGTGACATTTATTAACATTCAGAGCCTTGGTCTTTGCAGCCAGAAAGAATGTGCACATACACCGTGTCGTGAATGTAACGAGGTCAGCCAGCTGGACCTCATAGAGTATGAGCTCCCTGATTGTGGCTGTTAATCTGGTCCAAACAGGGAGCCCTGGCTGACATATAAAAAGGGGAGTGTCAGAGAATCTAGCACTCTGAGAGCTAACTCTGAAGTGGCAATGTTAGAGGCAAGGACTGTTCATGTATTAATAAAGGATGACTTGGTGATGGTGTGGAGTTATTTCACACTGCACTTATTTCAACTCATCAGGAGAGGTGACAATCATTTTCTGCTTCATTCATCATGGGAAATGCTTTGTGAATCAGACTCAAACCAATCAGCCTGACTGGTTTAAATTCAAACAAAGTTTGGCAGTTAACTGGCAGTTATCATCTAACTGTCTCTTTGTGGCAATGCCTCTGCCAATCCAAGTCCACTTGCCAACAATTAGCGCTCTATGGTCACAGTACAAAATGCTGTGGCCAATATGACAAAGACATCAGGAACATAACTTTCATCCACACCAAGAACAGCAACAAAGGGGGCTCAGTGTGCAATGTACATGACCTTGACTGGAGCAGGTTGAAGGAATAAAGCAATACGTCCTGTTCACAATCTGAAAATTCCATCAGAGATTTGAGTGATTCTGATCCGCATCAACCCTGTATAGCTCTAGTTCCTCTGTACACAAGTATTTGGAATTCATTCAAAGATTGTGAATACCACCTTTGTTATTCATTTATTCCTGTTACTATTTCCTGCTTTGGCCTTCACTCATTAAGCAGTTGCAATCTGATCCATCTTTTAGCAATTGAAGGGTTTGGCATTTCCATATGGAAGTTTTCTGACATTAACTGATTAGACCTCTCTCAAAAGCATTTTCTGACAGGTCTCTCCACGTGAGACTTGGCAGAAGCTTTCTGATTGCAGACAGAATTTACACAAGTCATCTGCAAAGGATTGTGGTGATTATCATTGTGATCGACAGCAAAAATTTATGATATAATTTTCAATTTAAATTTACGATTAAAATTGTGATTCAGGATTAAAATGTTCCTCCAATGTGTGGCAGATTTTTAAAATGCCATTAACCTTTGTTAAGTTGGAAGCAAAATGACTTGTTAGGCTTTGATTTTTTCTTTTTATTTCATTCACAGGATTTGGATGTCACTGGCTGGACCAGATTTCAGTCCGTCCCTAAGTGCCCAGAAGCAGATGAGAGTCAACCACTTCACTGTGGGTCTGGTGTCACCAGGTAAGGATGGCAGATTTCTTTCCCTAAAGGGCACTGATGAGTTTTTACAACAATCTACAATGGCTACAAAGTCTGTATTGGGCAAGTTATACAATCACAGAGTCAAACAGCATTGAAACAGACTCTTCGATCCAATCAGTCCATGCCGAACATAATTCCAAACTAAACTAGTCCCACCTGCCTGTTCCTGGCCCATGTACCTCCAATACTTTCCTATCCATGTACTTATCCAAATGTCTTTAAAACTTCGTAATTGTACCCACATCCACCACTTCCTCAGCAAGTTCATTCCACATGCGAACCACCCTCTTTGTAAAAAATTTGCCTGTTAAGTCTTTTTATAAATTTCTCTCCTCTGACTTTACAAGTGTGCCCTCTAGTCTTCAAATTCCCCCATCCAAGGGAAAAGACAACTACCATTAACTCTATGTATACCTCTCATTATTTTATAAACTTCTGTCAGGTCGCCTCTCAACCTCCTCCACTCCAGTGAAAAAAGTCCCAGCCTTTCTTCATAACTCAAACCTTCCATACCAGGCAGCATCCCGGTCTAATTAGTAAAGTTAGGTCACATGGGATTCAGGGTGATATCCTTTTCTTCTAAAACCAAAGAACTGGGGATGCTGGCAGTGAGAAACAGAAACAGAAGTTGCTGGAAAAGCTCAGCAGGTCTGGCAGCATCTGTGGAGTGAAATCAGAGTTAACGTTTTGGGTCCAGTGACCCTTCCTCAGAATTCAGAGCTTTTGATCCTCTTCTCTGTTTTCCTGGTATAGAATTTCAGGATGAAGTAGTGAAAATATTTACATGTTATCAAGTTGTTCCAGATTATTTGCATTTGCCTGTAAAATGTTCTGATTGTATCTGTCTTTGGACAGTAAGCAGCAATCTGAAAACCTGACAAAGGATTAGCTATTAGAACGTAGAACATAGAACATAGAACATTACAGCGCAGTACAGGCCCTTCGGCCCTC